ACTGTTTGCATTATTTTTATTAAACTCTTCTTCATATCTTGCAGCACTGAGATTGGCAAGGAGTCTGGATTTTTGTTGTAAAAATAATTGATTTCTTTTTTTACAATGAGTCATTCTCTCGCTGTAACAAAAAAATCAGACAAAATTTTTCTTTACTATCTATCATTCTAGCTACAACGATAGAGTGTCATAGAGCCTGAATCTGGACGTTCTTTCTTGCTATAGCGAGATATTCTGCAGCTTATACAATTTAAACTTTCCAAAATTCAATTAATTCACACATACAACTAACATTCAATACTATAATAATAAATATAAAAACAAGAATGTTACAAATTCGATGATTGTAATAATTTTGATTAAGTTCTATTTTTAATTTACAAGAGTTTGTAGATATTATTTTATGTCAATTTGTTTTGAATTTGTGATATTTAGTTAAATTTTGTTGCAATTAATAATTCAAAGTATTTATAATATTGATAGTTAGTTAATTTAATTATAATTTACATTCTGTTTTAGACAGAAGATTACCTACTAACTAACATAGTTATTTACAGTTTAAATTTAAATATATGCAATATAAACTTTTATTTCCACTCAAATTTTTACGAAAATAAAGATTTTGAAATTATTTCTTTTAAAATTTTAAACACCTTTGAGTTTTCATAGATAAAATAAAGAAATGAAAGTTTTTCTTTTTCACTTAAAGTCTTTAAGCTATAAATATTAAATTAATTTATTTTATTTTCTTCCTTCGTTTTAAATTACTATACGTATTTGAGATATAAAATAAGGATGTTACATGAAGTCTACTACAATAATAGTCTTAGTTATCATACATTATATACAAAGTTGAAGGTCTTTCACTTTTTCTTTGCAAACCTCCTCCTTTTTTAAAAGCTTAGCTTGACATTTTTAAAAGCCTGATTTGGCCTATTAGCCTTTTTAATTGCTTACTTCATATTGAGACATTCAACAGGTCGTTAAACTTCCTTATAAATAGGCTGTTAAACTATCTAAACAAGTATGTCTTTTAAAAGTCATAAGGCTTATATCTAAATAAACTATTAACAAAAAGGTTCAACACCTTGAATATATATAATAAAATTACATATTCCTTTTATCACTTTCAAACCACATATTTAATTTAAATAAATAAATCACTACACATACAAAAAATACAATAAAATGAATATCAATTTATAAATTATTAAGCAAATCTAGTAACATAAAATCTTACACATTAAATCAACAAATACAATATAACTAAATATGTTTTAGACCTAAATTAGTAAATACAATAAACAAAAATGTAAAATGCACAAATAACAATATTTTTTCATATAGGATATGCAAAAAAACTCTACCAGCAAACGTGGCTCTCTCTTTTAGACGATATGTAGTAGATACATTTTTCAACTCTAACGAAAAGGATTAAGGTTTTTAATTTAAAATTTTATTATTTTAAAATTTAATTGATTTAATTTATTATTATATTATAATTTTTATATAAAATTATTAAATATATTATTATAAATTTTATGAATTTTAAATAGGCTATTCTAATAGGCCTGATAGGCTTTTTCTTAAGCTCAAGCCTAACCTATTTAATTAATTAAGCTTTTTAAAAAGTCTAAATTAAGCCTATTAATTAAATAAGTTAGGTTAGATTAGGTTTTAAAAAGGTTAAGCTCTTGTAGGATGGCCTGTCTTATTTCTATCCCTACACCTCTCCCCCTCCCCTAATTTTAGTTAAATATTATGCTTTTTCCTTCTTACTTTGTTTTTTTATTATTTGTCCTCCAATTTAATAAAATAGAGTATTTTAATGTCATTAATTGCTTTTATTGAAAAGTCAAATATATCTTTTCCAAGTTTAAAAATTTTAAAATTTTGACATTAAGTGACTAATGATCGATAAGTTTTGACACGTTTTTCTTGTATTTTTTTAAGAAAAAAATATATCCTTTTTAAGAAAATTTTAAGCTCGATTATTGAGACAAAAAAAAGACATAAGTCACAGCAAGTAACAATAAAATAAAGAATGAAGAAATAAAATAATGAACATAATATCAATAAATCAAATAGTTTTGACACTTCAATTTTATCATTACTACCAAGTATTGTTTCACATATACTTATCTTTTAATTTAGATGCTTTTTACTTATTTTCTATTTTATTAAAACATTAAATTAAATGAAAAATATAAAAATTTTATAGGATAAACAATTTTATAAAATAGCTAAATATAAAAAGTATTAAATAACAATAATGTGTAACATTATGATTGAATTTATAACATCTTTATTCATAAAAAATAATAATTAATATTAAGTAATGATCATTTATTTTTTAAATAGTCATTTGTAACAAATTAACATAAAATAAACAAAGTTTGAAGCTTAAGACAATAATAATCTTAGTTTTCATCTCTAGTTTCATAAGAGATTGTAACAAGAGGGTCATCCACCTTTGTTACTATTATTAACTTTTTCATTAATTATTACTAAATCCTAAAAAAAAAAACATAGAGAGCAGAAATAGATACACTTATAGAAATATTCAAACAACAAAAACAAATTTGAGAGAAGGAAAAACATATCAAAGGAAACACCAATACTTTTGTAGCTTTCAAACTAAACAAAAGAAAAACCAAACCTATTTTACTCTAAGTATACAAAGGAGGCATCACTGATATTCCTTATTTTGACCGCATCAATATCCCCATTTGACTATGTGTCAATGTGATCCACTTGAAAAATAAATACAACAAGTTATTTTATATTTGAATTCCAATTAAATTAAATGGGCTCATGATTAAATATTGGCCTCTAATATTTGAACATATGGGTAGTTTCACAAAAACAAAGAGTATTATACATGAAATCTCCTTAAACAAATCTCTTCTCCATTTTGAAAAATTACGCAAACTCTCCTAATAGTAAAATCATACCTTTGTAAACCTCTCTTGATTTTACTTTATTTTTCACAAAAACAATGTTTTATTTAAGGCAAGTGAGAGTGATTTAATCAAAATCATAATTCTGTTATAGAAAACTCCAAAATAAAATGCTCAAATCCAAAATTTCACATACAATAGAGAAAGGCCAAAACAAAATTAATACTATGACACAATTTTTCATAATCAAAATAGAAGACCTGTTGTAAATTAGGATTCAAGATTTTAATTTTTTTTTTTACTCTAGCAACAATTGTAGTGTATCAGAACATTAGCATTGAAAAATTTTGGGTTGAAGTTATATATTTTATTCAACAGATCAATTTATACTTTGTATTTCTTTTACTCTAATTTTACCTTTTTGACAAATAATGATGCTCGATTAACAGATTTTAATATAAGATATTTTAAAAGGGAAATTAAATCTAAAAGTTGTTTTTGGCACAAAAGGACTAGAAGCAAGGGAAAAAGGGTTGCGGGAGGGGGAGACAGAGCTGGTGGGTTAGGGGAAAAGGGTGAGGAGCTGCAGGAGGAGGAAGGAGAGAGGAAGGGAAAAGTTTCACCATTTTTCAATAATTTTTTAAATAAAAAAAAGTTCACGTAGGATTAAATAAACAACGTTAAGACACTCAGTGCCACGTAGGACGTCTCTATTAGGTTATGTAGTAGAGTTAATGGAAAAGACTAACGTGGAAAATAAAAAACCAATACTTCGAGGAGAAAAATGAATAAAAAGAAAGCTAGAGAACGAAAGTGAATTTTACCCTAAAATTAAGGGATGAAAAAAATAATTTTACCAAATAAGTACAAGTCATACTATTCAATTATTAATGTCCTCTCATCCTAACGTAAGAAATTATAAATTAAGGCAGGAGTTTGAACATTCAACATTTAAGTTCATTCTCGTGAAATTTTCCAAAACCTAATGTGAAACAAAGACAAGACATCAACCTTACTGGGACCTATCTCTAACTTTGCATAAGTCTATAAATAGATGGAAATATTCAAATTTATGGGGTCTTTTGTTTGATTTTGTAATGCTCACTTAAACGAGATAATCTTAAGCCTTTCTTATGTTTTATTTAGGTGAGCCTTTTCACACATTGTCAAGAGAATATTTTTTTGTTTAAGCAAAATTTTCTTCACATAAGCGAATATTATATATTTTTGCTTAAACAAAAATAGATTGCAAGGTCATGTTCATGTCAAAACTATAGAAGATTTGTATTCATAATGAAAGAGTTAGAACATTAATGATAAAACGTGAAAGGGTTAAAAATATTAAAGGTGAAAAGAATTTTTTAAATTAAACTCATACAACATTAAGAAAGAATTGAATAAAAACTCCCTTAACCAAAGTTGGCAAGTGCATGAAATCAAGTAGTCTAATTAAATGAAAATAAAATTAGAACTTGATAAAGAGAAAAAAAAAAAGATAGTAACAAATAAAATAATAAAATGAAACTATTTTTTTAATTATTATCTTTATATTATAATAAAAATATATTAAATAAGAGTTAAAATTCATTAATATTAAATGTAAAATTTTAATATTTATATCATTTAATAACTTTTTATAAATATAATATTGATTAATTTAACGATTAAATTATTTTATATTATTTTTATAATAATGTATATCAAATTTTATGTAACTTTTACTTAATTTAAACATTTATAGAATGTTATCTAAAATTTGATATTTATATATTTTTTTTTAAAAAAATAATACAATAGAATAACTATTAGTTTTGTTTCTTTATAAAATTTTATAAAGTTAATTTATTAAATGAAAATCTTCAAAAGTGAGATTAGTTAATTTTAGATTTATGAAAAATTTTAGACTTGTTTTTAGAAACCTTGTATTAACTAACCATACTCCTTGCATATGATATATTTTATACTGTAATGTCCTACATATCATGTATCCCTTACCCGTGGTTGTACCAAATAGAAAAATGTATTAGATAACTAGGGTCCAGGCTTCGCTTCCTCCCTCAAAAATTCACGATTTCTTAGAATTTGATGAACAGAAGGAGTCTAAATTTTAGATGCAACCGTGTGCAATGCTACCAAGGAAGCATAGTCACCACCTTTTTTTATCAATGTTTCATGATTTCCTTTCTCTGTAATGACTCCATTCTTAACGACTGCAATCAAATCTGAACCCTTAATAGTAAATAAGCTATGTGCTATTATAATGGTGGTTCTGTCCACCATTACTCGATCCAGTGCATCCTGAACTACTTTTTCAGACTCAGCATCAAGGGCACTGGTGGCTTCATCTAGTAGTAATATTTTTGGATTCTTCATTATTGCTCTTGCAATTGCCACACGCTGCTTCTGTCCACCAGATAATTTAGACCCTCGTTCGCCTACAATGCTGTCATACCCCTGCACATATTTTCCAAGAATTCAAGCAAGTAGTGATTCAAACTAGTTTAGTATTTTTTTAAAGAGAGATTAAGCTATTTACCTGCTGCAAACTACTAATGAACTTGTGAGCATTTGCCATTTCTGCAGCAGTTATGATTTCTGTCTCTGTGGCATCTCTTCCCTTTCCATATGCAATATTAGCTCGTATGGTGTCATTGAACAACACGGGCTCTTGGCTTACCAGGCCCATTTGCTGCCTTAACCATTTAACATGAAACTTTTGGATTTCTATTCCATCAAGTGTAATGCGACCTGAATCTGGGTTATAAAATCTTTGCAATAATGAGACTACAGTTGATTTTCCGCTTCCACTTTCTCCCACCAGTGCAACTGTCTGATATTCATCAGTGTAAACACACTGTTAGTTTCTTCCTTCTGTTCATTTTCGGGAGGATGATAACTTTGGACAAAATAGATATTGTTAGTGTTGTTTAACAATTAAATTTAGGGTTTTACTCAAATAAAATGTTTGCATTTAATATTATGACATACTACCAAGACAAAGCTTTTTTTTTTAGTAAACAACAGTCAAGAACTGCACCTAAGTTTTTATCCTTGTACTTGTGAATTATCCAATATAAATTAGGAACAAAAATACCTTGTTTGAACAAATGGTCAAGCAAAGATCCCTGAATATTTGAACATCTGGTCTGGCGGGGTACTTGAAACTTACATGGTGAAACTCAACTTGCCCCTTCACGTCTTCTAGTGTCAATCCAGAGTCATCACAGGGGTCGATTCTTGATTTTCTATCAATAATAGCTAATATAGTCGCAGCAGCAGCTTTTGCTTTAGTTGAATCTGGGGCCAAGGAACTAGATTGAGAGATCCCCACAGCTGCCATATTTAGAGCAAAAAAGACCTGCAATCAGTAATCAATATCATAAATATCTGCTAAATGAAAAGATAAAACATATCCTTGTCTCCATGACATATTGATATATTTAATAATAATTATATTTCAAAAGAAGTCTAAAACAAAAAATATTGATAATTGCATTACTTTTATTTACAAGAAACAGCTGCGAATACTTTTTTTTTTAATCTCAATTATATGAAATAAAGATCTATTTTTAAATGCATTTTATTTTTATGAGGCGTAAAAGTTAGGAGAATGACTTACACAAAAAACATTGGAGACCGATGTTTTACCATCTCCTACAAGTTTAGCTCCGGCATAGAAACTGCATGCATAGACTGAAAACAACAAGAAGTAGGATAGCCCAAAACCAATGCCACTAATTATCCCTTGCCTTATGCCTGCCTTAATCGGTGCTTCACATTTCTTTTGGTACAACTCCATCACCTTCTCTTCAGCACAAAAGGAAGCCACTGTTCTAATGCTACTTATAGCATCGTTTGCTACTTGACTTGCTTCCTCATACAATTTCTGTAAAACACATTGAATATTATAACAATTTGTCTTTAGCAAATGATTATAGCCTTTGAACTATGCTTTTAAAGTATTTCTCCATGTCCTCTTACAAAAGATATGAAAAGCTACATACAAATGGATTTAATAACTTCTAGCAAATATAAAGTTTACTAGTTGAGAAGTTAGGAACAAACCTTTCCATCTGCAGTGAATCCTTGGATAAACTTTTGCTGAAGATATCCATTTAGTGCTAACAGAGGTAGCAAAACAAGAATTATAAGAGCAAGACGCCAGTTTGCCTCAAATGCAATTACCGAGCCAACAATTGCAGTAGCTACATTCTGAACAAGTAAACCAAGTGCGTCCCCAACCAAAGCTCGAATAGAAGCTACATCAGTGGAAAGCCTTGCTCCAAGTGCTGCACTTGAATGCTCAGATTCGTCGAACCAACTTACTTCCATACAAATTATTTTCTCAAAACAAATCAGTCTCATCCTTTTAATTAAATTTTCACCAGCAACAGCAAAGAAGTAGGACCTTAAAGGAGAAACTAAGCAGGATGATACACCAAGTGAAACAAATATTAATGCCCAAAATTTTGAGTCCTTTCGGAGTTCATCTGCAGGCTCATAAAAAATGTTTACCATTTTGGAGAGCATAAACCCAAACATGGGTAATATTGCTCCATTAGCTGCTGCAGCTATTGTTCCTAAGAGTAAGATTGGAATCTCAGGCTTGTTTAGATAAGCTATGCGGTGGAGTGGTACTTCCAGAGGTGGCTGTGATTTTGCTGATGGATTCACTTCATGTTCTCCTCCATCTGTTTCCAAGACACCGGTTGTTGTAGCAAGTTCGCTGTTTCCAACTCCTGAAACTCGGCTTACAGATTGTAAGAAAGAAAATCGTTGGCTTGAATGTGTAGAAGAATATGTAACAATTTCCTCTGTGTGTGTCTCAACTGCAGTATTCTGTTCTGTCTCATTAATCTTAGTCTCTTGAAAACTAATGAGCTGGCTGTAGGCTCCATTAGGATCCTTAGTGAGATCAGCATGAGAACCTGATTATCATTAAGAAATGCGGCAAGGATTTTTGTTTTTTAAGAAATATCAACTTATGAATAATGGAGAAATGAATAACAAATTGAAATTCAAGAAAAAGGATATTCGAAAGAAACTTTCATCACCTTTTTCTACTATTTTTCCTTGGTGAATGACGGCAATAGTGGTGGCATTTCTTACAGTACTCAAGCGGTGGGCTACAATAACAGTAGTGCAGTTTGTCATGATTTTATCCAGTGCCTCCTGTACTATTTTCTCAGATTCCGAATCAAGGGCACTTGTAGCTTCATCAAGAAGTAGAATTCTTGGGTCTTTCAAAATTGCTCTTGCTATGGCAACTCTTTGTTTTTGACCACCAGAGAGCTGTGTTCCATGCTGACCTATCATCGTATCCAGCCCCTATATATTGTATTGCCAAACTGTTAGGGTAAAGGGCCACCTAGTATAAGCTAGTGTTTAAGAAATTAAGAAGTGGTATTTAGATTGCTTCGATACAAAGTTCAATTAAGTGCTTATTCAATAAAACTTTTTTAAATGATGACTTATGTTAAAAATTTAACCTTAAAAGTTTTTGGGATATTAAGTTGAAAACAACTTATTTTGATAAGTTTTACTAAGAAACTTATTGAAATAAGTTAAAAACAGCTTATGAGAGCCATAAACTACTTTCATAAGGTGTCTATAAGTTCTAAATAAGCATAAGTAGAACATGCAGCTCAACAAAATGTAATTCAAGTAAAAGAACACTTGAATTTCCAAATTTAATTTCAATGACTACATAAATAGTTGATAATTTACCAGGGGAAGTTTATCTATGAACTTAGAAGCATTGGCAAGATGTGCTGCATATTTGATTTCATCGTCTGATGCACCATCGTTACCATAGGCAATATTTTCTTTAATGCTACAAGTTAACAGAACTGGCTCCTGGCTGACGAGGCCTATTTTCTGTCTGATCCATTTAAGTTTAAAGGCTTTGATATTGATTCCATCAATGAGAACTTGCCCAGCTTGTGGGTCATAGAATCTCTCTATCAAGCTAATAATTGTTGATTTCCCACTCCCACTTTTCCCTACCAAAGCTGCAGTTGTTCCCTTTGGTATTGAAAGAGAGAATCCATTAAATATAGGCTCATCTGGCCTTGCAGGATAACTAAAGCAAATATCTCTCAGTTCTATATCTCCAACAATATCAACAAGTTCTTGACCTGTAGTGTCATAAGCATCAATATCTGGTTTCCTATTAATCGTTGCAAACATCTTAAAGCCTGCAGCTTGTCCTGCAGCAAAAGCACTTAGGCTTGGAGATGCCTGCCCAAGAGAACTGAAAAAATACAGGTAGGCAAGTGTTATGTTTATATTCATTCTGGATTTTGTTATTCATATTAATCTGCATCTGGTCTTTTTTATAAGGCACATTCAAGAAAGTTACAGTGATTGATATTTTTTTTAAGGCATTTTATAGTTTTTATGAAATATATTTATTGCATTTTTCTCGTTTGCTTTTAAGAAATGAAATTGATGGGCACTTAAATTAAAATCAACAAGAGTAAATTTTTTATAGCGGGGTTAAGTTTAATGATATTAAGTAAAGGTAAAATTGTTACGTCATAATATTTTTTAAAAACTCAGGAAAATCAATTAACTTTTAACGACTTGATTTGTATAATTTAGTTGAATGTGCTTTATATAATAGACGGAGTAAATTGTAATTGACTTACAGGGATCCCGTCATTATTGCAAAAATTATGGTGACAATGTTGCCTCCTGTATATCCTTTCTCTAGTATCAATTTCACACCAAACCATATAGCCAAACCATAAGTGCAGAAAACAATAAGTAAAACTGAACCAAATCCCAAACCAGAAGCAATTCCCCCTTGCACACCACTCCTGTATGCTTTTATTAAAGACTGATTATAGTGAGCTAGAGCTTGCATCTCTCCGGTGAATGATGCAACCTGCGTTGGAGTTATGGAAATTATTTACTGGGTTATGGAAATTATCAGAAATTATTTCCGGTGACATGCATGTGATGCATACCGTTCGTATAGAACCAATTGTCTGCTCTACTACACTGGCGGCTTCAGAGTATGCAACTTGTCCATTGGATGTCACTTTTGCAATTACAATACTCATCAAAGCACTTGCAAAGACAACAGGTGGAATAGAAGATAGCAAGACAAGAGTGAGAAGCCACCCCTTTATGAATGCTATCACAAAACCTCCAATGAAAGATGCCACTAACTGTATGAACTGTCCTACCTAAAATGATTAGAGAAAATGGTGACCAATTTAATAAAAACTTGTATGATGGATGATCTTCTAAGGATCAATTTATGAGACAATTGCTTTTTAACTTTTAAAAAATATACCAATCACAAAGAGGGTGTTAATGGCATAAAAAAAAAGACCTTCTCGCCCATGGCATCTCGAATAAGAATAGTGTCGCTTGACATCCTTCCAACGGCCTCGCCAGTATTAGTTTCCATGTCAAAGAAGCTCACATCTTGTCTCAATATTGCTTTAAGGTATAAACCTCTAATTCTTGCTGCCTGTCTCTCCCCACTCACTATCCAGCAAGACACCTCTGGCATATACAGGGACATGATTATAGGCTGAAAATAGTTACAATTAAGGCAAGACAATAAATATCAATGCAAAATCAAAGTTACTTACGAATATATGATCCTATAAAGGATCCCACACCCAAGTATACAAATTTAACTGCCACCTGAACGCAAAATTATTTCATTATCACATGAAAAAATTTCAAAGTTATATAAGTTGAAATTACTCTGCTTCTTTAGATACAAACTAGCAGTGAAGGAGGTACCTTAGAGACGTCATGAACCACTTCTTCGGGGTTTGTGTGTCCCCCAAATGCATCAATTAAATTTCCAAAAACAACAGTCATTAAGGGAGTGGTAAGTCCATTTGCAATGGCGCCAATTGTGCCCACAAACATCAAAGCACGATCTAAAGAATCTGCAAAAGAGAAAAGTTTGTAAAAAGGGACTACGTTGGTGCTGGTTTCACCTTTGGCCATGATCCTCTTTGAATTTGGTTCCTTATGAGTCTCTCTTTGTTGTATAGTTTTAGCAATTAGAGCACGTGCATGACTTGATGATTCGGTGGTCTCACAAGCTATAATATCTCCATCTAAACTAGCTTCCCCTCTCATTTCTCCGCTGGAAGACTTGTATTACTTGCTAACAACACCGATGACAGTAAACCAAAAACAACTGCAGCAAAATAATAATGCCCCATGTCAGCAACACACGAGTGTTTTTCAAAATCATTGCTATTATATTGGGTCATTACCTCTTTGAATTTTACATGAATGTACCCAAAATAAACCAAGTTTCATGCATAGAAACAATTACTAGAGTTTGAGATGAGATGTACTTGTAAAGAAAGCAAATCCAATAGATGAAATGAGGCTTAAGCCACCTATGCAAATCAAATTATGAATGGATAGAAAAGAGAAGAATTAGACACCTATGTAAATATAAACTACAGTCTTTGTCGTAATTAAATATTACCACTTCATGGAGTGTGGAGCATGAGAGCTGGTGAAATAGTCCTAGTTCCTCCCAATTTCCTTTGTTTATATATATGAATCCAATATCCATCACGCAAGCTCAAGGTAGAATTTAATGCGAGTCCAATTGAATTCACCAAACAAGCCAATTTCTTCTTCTAGAAGGACGTTTATTTTATCTCTTTTCGATGTATCACTATTCACTAATGAAACCCAAATAAAAATGATGTCCACGTTCACTTTCTAATTTACTAGTAACTTACTTTCAATTACTTTCTCTTACAATTAATTTTTTATCCACTCTTTATTTCTTTCTTTCTCTTATATTTTTATCACATCTCATACTTTATTTTTATCCTTTTCTCTTATCTTTCCTCTACCCACTTCACACTCAAATAATGGGTGTCAACATATATTTTGCCCACTTACTAACTTAAAATGTGCTGATAAAAGAAAATGCCGGGATTATTCCTGGCTAAGTGACTAAAACTATGTTAAACCAAATATTTTTGTGGGATAATTTCATTGATCTTTCTTTAGATTTTGCAAAATTACACTTCATTGTATGAAGAAGTCCAATGCATAAATAACAATGGTTGGTGTAATTCTCTAAACAAAGGTGTCGTAGTGTAAGAACAGACATTCACAGGAATCACAGCGACAGATATAAATATAATTTTCAATGTTGGGGATGTGTCTGACGCAAAATGTAAGTACCTTTTATGCAGTCCCTTTCTCGACCTCTACATAGGCATTTGTTTATGAGAAATTGGCGTTGATTGACTTATATTTAATAATTGAAATGTTGGAGTTTTATCTTTCTTTCACTTTGTCCTATGCTTAACTATTTTTTCTTTATGACATGCAGAGGGCTTAAGAAACTTTACGTAGGACCAATTGACGTTTGTAATTGAAATAACATTTTCTGAATAGCATCTTTCAAAAAATGCGATCTTGATACTAGTTGAATTTGCATACATACAGATTAGATTTAGCCACTTAGGTGACATAATCCCTTTGTCTGAAAATAATATGATACTGGATGAAGTGAATATGCAACACCAAATATGTGCTACGATTGTCGAGCTTATATATTTTAATATCTCCAAAAGAAAGTGATACGGAATCAGTGACAAAAGCAAAGCTATAGATGCTCACAAAGGTTCCCTTTATACCATTTTGATTCCCTTTAATTATATTGAGAGTACCCAAATTACTTTTAAAATTGCAAATAATCCTGAACATTGTGTGATCAGGTAATTATTTTCATATAAAAATGTAAATAAAATAACATGGATCTTAAAAAAAATCATTACTAAATCAATTTTAATCTAAATAAAGCAAAACTAGTGAAAAATTTTCACAATTTAACTGTTTTTCATGAATAAAATATTAACAAAAATTTTTACAAAAGTTTTTCCGTATTTTATAATATTTTCAGTTTAGTCTTTATATTTTATATCACACATTTTTTATTACAGCACTTTGACTCTAAAATTTTATTTAGGGGAAAAATTTGTCACTTTGCATGGTGAACAACCTACGCTACCTAGTCTTGCTGAATTTATCACTTGAGAAGAATGCATCATATTAGTGCCACTGTTGAAATTTTTACATTGTAGATTCAACATCTTAACTGCCCTGCTGATCAATGGCTAGACTTGGCCATTGATGTGCAAGCAAAAATAGTAGTCCTATTGCATACTTATAGAATTGTATTTGCTATTCCCACAGGACTACCACCTATCAGAGCTCAGGATCATTCCATTCTGACCCAATATGGCCCAATATCTAGAAACATCCCTACCAATATGGTCCAATATCTAGAAACATCCCTAACAATATGGCCCAATATCTAGAAATATCTCTAGTCTAGAAATATCCTTACTCTAGACTTATCCATTCTCTAGAAACATCTCCAATCTAGAATTATCTTATTTAATATCTACTATAAAATAATCTATGTTCTAGAACTATTCTTGTAATACTATAAATACCCAATTGTACTCCTCATTTTGGCATCAAGTTGAAGAAGGAAATTCTCATTCTCTACTAAGAGTTTCAAGCTCTAGTTCTCTCTTATCCTATTTGAGAGTTCTAAGCACTTCTTGGTCACTTTCCCTTACTGGTTTCTGAGCCACATTCTCTTGCTGCCTGGTTCTGGACTTGTTAAGATGAAACCCTATAGATGCTCTCATGGTTAAAATCAATAAATAAAATCTATGGTGCATGATATGTTGAATGAAGGAATCATTGTGCTTATTACAAGTCTTTTTTCTTCTCTTATTATTCCTTGTTAAGAAAAAGGATGAAATTTGGAGGCTTTGAAGTGACTATAGAACTTTAAATGCTATTACAATCAAAGATAATTTCCTTATTCTAACTCTAGATTGACTTAATGATGAACTATTTGTAGCACAATACTTCTCTAAATTGGATTTGAATACAAGTTATCATAAGATCTTGGTTAATCCTGACATTAGGTATAAAACAATTTTTATATTATGAGTGGCTTTTCATACTATTTAGACTTACTAATGCCGTCTCACATTTCAAAGTATTATGAATAATATATTTTAAGATTTTTTTCATTTAAATTTTATATATATTTTTTAATTTAGTAGTAAAATTTTTGATACATGCTTTTGATTTGAATTTTATACAATTATCTCTAATAGGTTGTCTGTTGAAATTGAGACATTTGTTTTGAGCTAATTTAACAATAAATATTATAGTCATGTCAGGATACGAATGAGATGAATAAATGTAAATTGTATAGTCATAAATAGATTACTAAGAATTAAAAGTTACATATTTCACTTAAAAAGTCATGCAATATTTTTTTTTCTCTGATTAAAGGGGCATTAAGCCCAAAACACACAGAAACCTAATAGCTCACTCTAGGCCAAGAAAAGCTCAAAACATTAAGTCTCAATAGAGGCGCTAAAGAGGAGGGGGTTTTGTCAAACAAGCAAGAAGACGTCTCATCCTCAGCCTCAAGTCTAGCTAGTCAATCCGCACATTGGTTGGCTTCCCTTAAAATATGATTAACCCTAACAAATTTAATATTCCTAAGCAAGAGCCTAATTTCCTTAATAACCAAAAAAAAGGCGAGTGGTTACCACTCTGCAAGCTAAGAATTAAGGATATAGCTTCCTTACAATCACTTTCTATCCAAATAATCTGGATATTTCTAGAAATTACAAGTTTAAGGCCCCAAACAATAGCCCTAATCACGGATAAGACCCCCACATGATGCAATCCCCATAAAGTGTTGAATAGAGCCATCAGTATTAAGCTTAAATTGCTCCTGCAGTGGCAGAATCCATTTAACCAACCTCAGAGGTTCCATCCCACCAGCAGCCTTGCTCACCTTGCTCCAACTACAAGAAAAAAAAGTATTCAAGTTCATAAATAGTTATTTTTAGTAAGGCATCAGTCCCCAAACAAGCATTCTGAAAAATAGCAAGGTTTCTGTTATATTATAGATTACAGACAATAAATCCAAACAAAGAAGGCTGGGAAAATTTTGGTCAGAAAGATTAAACAGAATCCAATTATTTAAACCAAGACTAAAAAATTCAGTCCATATGTCACTAGGAAGGATTTTATTCCAAATTTGGTTAGCATACCAACAATAGAACATGCATCACAGACTTAGGAGCTTCATTACATCTGAAACAAACAAAAGAGCTAGCTATCCTACGATTCACTCTCTCCTTATTAGTTAAAAGTCTACCATGAGCAACTTTCCAGAGAAAAATAGAAATTCTAGGGGGACCCTTCCATTTCCAAATCAATTAAAGGCCTGGTTCCCATCATTAATGTTCTGGTTATATTCATAAATCATGTTATAAGCAGAATTTATTGAAAACATACCATTGCTAGTCAACATCCAAAAGGCCTGATCCTGTTTATTAGAAATAACAGGGCAATCTAACTGAGCAATCAAATCACAGATGGATCTAGGTAGAAACTGCCTAATCCTCTCCCAGTCCCATCTACCATGATTGGAAAAGAGAATTACAGGATCCTTCATACTATTACTATTAATGGGCTGAATAGCAAACCTAGACAAATTTGGATGGTTTTGAAGCCAATTATCTTGCTAGAACCTGACAGTCATCCCATTACCTAGAATCCAACCAAGCCTTGAGTAGAAGCATCCCCAAACAGAGACCATTCCTTTCCATAAAGGGGACATATTCTGAATATTACTAATTTTAGGAGTTGAACCAAGTGCAAAATCATATTTATTAGAAAGGACCTGAGACCATAAGTCCATGGGAGAAGTAATAAGTCTCCAGCAGAGTTTCATTATAAAAGCCTTATTAATTAGATGGATATCCCTAAAACCTAAACCCCCTTCACTTTTAGGTTTACATATGGTCTTCTAACTGATTAGGTGACAATTTTTACCATCCAAAGATCCTCAAATAAAATTCCTACAAATCTTATCAATTTCATTACACATAGACTTAGGAAGAAAATTGGCCTGCATAAAATATTTAGGA